AGAGCGTCGAACCGGACGAATCGTTCGACAAGAGCATCGAGTATTCCATGATCGATCCTAGCCAGTTGCAGACGGCTCCTCAGGTGGTTGTCATAGAACACCATCACTCAAAGAGCGACCCCTTGCCGATGGAAAACGTGTTGAGGAGCGTGAAACCGAACTTCTCCACACCTAGAATCTACGAGTCGGATTCTGGGAGCGCCAGTAGTCTATACGCGAAGATTAACCCGAAGTTGAAATCCCGCTTACCTCGCGTCGAGTTGGCAGTGAATCCTGATGGATCGGCCGTGGACCAGAGCGAGGAAATTTACATGAAGATGGGACCAAAGTTGACCACGTTCGGTGTGAACAGTCCGTCAGGCTGCGATATAAACGTAACCTGCAGGGAACCCACTGTGGAAAGGGAATGCATCAGCCCGGAGGAAGCCCTGAGGACGATCAAGCGCAGAAACTATCCCAAAGTTCTGCCAGACATCGAGAAAAGACGATCCCTCCCGGCGCCTAGCAGCTTGTTTGCTTCCAAGCAGCATGCCGGTTCGTTGAAGGATTATAGAAGCGGATTGCATTCATCGTCGTCCTCTCATCAACCACCTCAACCCCCGCCGAGGATGTTTGGCCCGTCCAAGAGTTTGGAGTTTGCGGAGGAGAACGAGAGTCAGTACGAAACGGAGACGGTCACTACTAATCTGCACGTTGGTCCGTTGCTCAGAAGACAAGAATATTCGACCAAGAACAATTCCGATCCGAGTATCATTGACTCTCTGGATGACAGGGTGGACAGGACCAGGACGCAAGGCGGCGGAAGTGTTGACACGATTTATTCGAGTCCCGTGTGTGCCGTTCACGAGATGGGCCAACCGATCTCCCAGAGCATGGACACGAACATAGGATACCCGATTACCCTGCTGGAGGCAGGGATCGGTAATCCTAACTGGTACAAATCGTCGCCATCTGGCAACGAAGCTTCCACATTGACAGCGTCCTCCGAACCAAGGATCATCGGCAGAGAGATGGACAGACAGCCTCAATTCGGGGGCTCGAACTGGGACACCAGAATCCCCGGTATGGAACCAAGAATCGTTATCACACCCCGAGTTGGGAATCTTCTGGGGCAAGCGAATCAGAGCTTGAGCCAGACCGTGGTGAATCTAGGGGAAACCGTTTCCGACGACAGGCTAGATCGAGAAATTAAAACTGGCACTCCGTTGGAATCGAACACGTCCAGCCGATCCAATACCAGCTCGGTGGAACAATTGCAATCGGACTCGTTGACTTCGTACTCCTCGGCAGAGTGCAGATTGCAGAGCCTCGCCGGCCAGGAACGAAAGGAGCCGCGAATAATAATTACACCGAGGGACACCAAGGGTTCGTCGTCGAGCTTGAAGCAGCCCAAGATCATCATCAAACCGACGTCCAGTTTGCAAAGGACAAGGGATCACAGGAATATCCCCAAAGTATCGGCCATTCCACCCCCGGAGCAGAGCAGTCAGAGTATCGACAGGGACAAGCCAGCGGAGCCGAGGGAAAAGCCACCGCTGAAGGAAAAGCCGAAGGTCACAAGGATCCCGTCGTTTTCCAGGCGCAAGGAGGAGCCTCCGGGTGGAATCGAGAGACCGCCCATACCCTCGTATCCCGAGAAAACGGAAATCGTGCATAGGGTGGAGGCGGTGGCCGCCGGCAAAGTGGTGAACGTGTCCGTGGCCTGCGATGGCAAGTCGAGCATTCCGACGTTGCAGCGGATGGAGAGCGAGAAGTGTTCGAGCACGGAGTCGAGCAACGGGGCCTTGAATACGGGTACGATCAAAAAGAAGCCGGCGAGCAGGAAGTAGGAAGCAACTATCGCGTGCTTCTTCTACCATTGTTAAACTTCGGCCGAGTGCTTTCAGCTGAGTCGTTTTCCGTGTTTGTTATCAACGATTCGGTGATCCTAGGACGCTGTAATTCGTCGACGGTGGTTGTAAAAGGAAAGAATTTTCAGAGCGGATAGGAAATTGTATCGATGTTCGAATCCTTCACGCTACGAGCTGACTACTAGATACGAAAGCATAATCGAGAATGGAGTATTTAATTAATTTCTTTATGGCGAGACCAGTGGCCAGTATTGCAGCGAAATTCGGTACAACGAAACGACTCGCGAATTTTTCATTATATAGATTACACGATTTTTATTGTTTTTAACGTTCAAATGGTACGATTTGTAGAATATAAATATTGTTTTGTACGATATCGTCAGTGATATCTTAGCTCGGCTGAATAATTTATTCGCGGACGATGGGTAGAAGGAAATTTCAAGCAGACCCTTCGAAATAAGATACTCTTCTTCAACCTAAATCTATTTTCGCGCGAAATCCTTTTGGTAGACGACATTCCCATTTTTCTCGCAAGTTTCTCAGAATTTCGTCACTATTGGAATTTCCTTCCAAGTATTACCACTTGAACCCGAATGAAAATTATCCACCATTACTTAAGACTGTACACTGTTACATACGTATACGCTGATCTGCGGTTATTTTTCTAATCCTTCGAATATTCTTTTTTTAGCCTAAACCGCGTTCTCCTCTATTCTTATCTCGTCCGAGAATTTCCCTATTTTTTATCACGTTATCGAACGTATTGTACGCTCGGTCTAGCATGTACACGAGGCTGAAATAAACGATTTTCATACTTTTCCAGCGCAGCAGCGTGGGCTGAAAGTGTTTCCCTGAGCGGAGTGTCGCGGCGAGTCTCCGGTTATCATTTTTCAGTACGCGGCTGGCGTACCATTTATCTTGTAACTTTACCTTTATCCACCGGAACTTTATTATTAAGTAAAACAAAGTCTATAAGTCACAGAGCGTTGCCGGAAGGTGGCTGCTGTCTGGAGTAGAGGCTGTACCGCGAGGGAGAGCGAGGTCCGGGAACGACGTGAAAACGGCCAACGACTTTACCATTCCGTACCACGGTCCTTTCTACGCCTTCTACGACTGCGAATCGAATTGATTCTCGAAGTTGCAGAGGAGTAATGCGATTTCCCTGCCGACCGATAAAGAAAACTTCGTTTCATTCCGGACGTTTTGTCCTGCCTCTTCCCTGATTACGCGCCGGTGCCATTTCTGTCTGACCAATAGGGACAACAGCGTCGACAATGGCTACGGGGAAAGGAGTTCGACGTGGAACACCGTCAATACGGTTCTGCGCTTTTAATTCTCATTGTGCATACATACCGGTAACCCGGTTGTTTCCTGCGGGATCCGTTCGAACATCGCGGAGGAATGTTGCAGTATGCCGGAATGTAGTAATATTCGCACAGTCGTTGAACGCATTTGCAGACGATTCCTGCACGCTCGTTATTCGGTACAACAGCAGAACCGAAATGTAATCGTTGAACATTGTTCTCTCGTATTAATTTTCCGTGCATGACGTTTTTATACACCACTCCATATTCGAGGCTAATACAATACCTGTTTCCCTTTTCATTCGATCATGCGTGTGCGTGCGTAGGTTTTTACTTTATTACACAACGATCGATCGATGAATCGAGCGCGCTAGAAGCGATACTCGATTGAAATATCGTTTCAGCTGCGCACGCGAGAATATTGTGTCATAAAATGTGTATTGTTGTTGAAACAATGGTACACAAGTGAATCGGTGAGGTTTAAAGTGCCCTTTATCGCACGCGCCGTGCAAATATACCTTTGTCGTATTTGTCCAGAAGATATATGCGAGATGCTGGTCGAATTCGCGGATATTTTTCCAAAGGACTACCCGGATTTGTCGAAGAAGCGAGAGTTATATAACCGCGAACGGTGTTCCACTGTTGGCGAAAAAATTGAACGATCCTTCAACGATGAGGGATGAAGGTGGTTAACGAGAACACCGCCGTTTCTGCCGGCAAATTTACGCAGTTGTTAATTTTTCCTTAACAAGCGGCACACTTAAAGCGAAAATGGACTTTAATAAGGGGAAGAATTACGCGGGCCGTGATTTATGCTGCACAATTTATGCTTTAATACGCAGATACCCATGGAGTTCCAAAAGAAAATCCCCAGTTGTTTATCACGCGAGTACTCATTCGTGCGAAATTTCACCCCAACCGCTCCTTTTATGCACAATATCTCGGAAACGAGGGCCAGACGCACGTTCTTACCCTTGCTCCGCTTCCGAGTCAGTCTGCTCCGTGGTTCACTTAACTTTTCAGACACTGTATAGAACGCGAAATTCTTCGAAGCCGAATAAACTCCGGAGATACGTATTATTTAGGGAAAGAAAGAGCGCCTACCGTCCTCTATATTTCTACCCATTTCTTACATTTTACGCTCAATTTATCGACCTCCGATTGTTTACCGAAATACTTGCAGCTATTAAGCAACGATCGAAGTGGAGGAGACGAAAGTTGGGTGCGCCAATGGAATACCAAGACACGGGTCTCGGAAACGTTGGATGAACTCTCGATTTGCCGGCCGGTGTAATGGCGTGGATTTGATAAATTCGCCGGACGTTTAATGGAAGGAGCCACGTGGCTTTCACGGGGCAAGTTTCTGCTCGCTGATAGCGCACGGTTATAGCACTTTCGGTTCGACGAGGGCACAAAATTTATCTCGCCTTCTAAAAAATCATTGCGAATATATTAACCCCTCGCGCAAGGATCTTTTTTCATATTTTATCTCCGATCCAGTTCACTTTCTTCACCTGGATGTTACTGCCGATCTATTCCCGCGAAAGCCTTAAATAAATCTGCCAGATTTTCTACTCGGACTGTTTTCGAAGTTACCGACGTCATCGCCAAGCTTTATGGACGAAAATAAAGATCGTCAACCCTCGTAGAATTAATTTCCAACGACGCGGGAAAGCTGAAACGTTATCTGCTCGACCGACTGGCTTCCGCGTGGTTTCCCGAATTAATCGTAAATGTATTCGCAGGACGCGATACATCAAAGGAAACGCGATATCGATTGTGGAAGTGGCGTTTCCATCGGTCTCGAAGGTGCACGCGCACGTAAGTTGCACACGTACGCACGAACGTACATCGGGAAAATATATCCAGTGGCTGCATCGGGCCAATTTGCATTGCTAAACGTTGCCTCACATTCGATTCGCTCCCGGCTCCTTCGGCTTCGATGTTTGCACGCGCGGATATGCATGTGCTCGTGGCTGCAGGCTTGAAATTGGCAAATTTCGAGTGCAAAGGCGAGAAAAAAGACCGCTTGTCACCGCTACTGTTGTTAAATCATTTACACAAACGATAACGCTGTCGGCGGAAAGAAGGAACCGGTGATCCGAAATAGTTGACCGGTCAAACGAATTTCCTAGGTACCTTTGTACCCCGGTCCGAATGTTTTCAACGGTTTAATATTTCGTTTCGATGTTGTACCGGTAGAAGGAAGGTGGGCGGAACAGAGTTTCAATTTTTCGAAAATAGAACGCAGTCTGTACGAGTCGGCTGAAAGATCGTTGTTGCGTTATCGAAAAAGATGCTGCACGTATCTTGCGAATAAATATCTCACAGTTTTTCCCAGCCTGCGGATAAATTCCGAAAAAAGTTTTACTCTCCATAAAGGAACACGCGAGTTATATGTAACACGCGGTACGAATTACGGCAACTAATTATTTTCAACGTAAAACTTTAACTCGCTCTTTCTGTTATTATCGTCGCGACCGCGCTATCTGTTTCTGTGAAAAAAAATTTTTCACCGCGGAGAAAATTACTTTAAAAAACTGGAATCGTCTCGCTGCTAGCCACCCCCGTTCCCAGGACCACCGCAACCCTACCGCTCACTTTTCCGAGTCAACGAGGTATAAAAACCGTGCTTCGTGTAACAGGAAACCGGGACAGACTGCAGCCGCGACAAACGATCCGATAATGAGGGATACACTCGTTCGTTCGCCTCGCTTGCTAGCAAATGGCCGAACAATCCCGGGGAAAGGGTTGACAATGAAGCCACCGCTCGGAACGGGCGCGGAGAGTTTGGAAACAGAGAAACAGGAAACGGCGAGAACTGAACCGAACGATTACCAAGCATTAGTTACGGCCAGTGTAACGTAGTCTCTGGGCGCAGCAGTTTGGAAAGCCGTAATTGCAAGACAACTCCTGGCCCTTCGCCTGACGGGGTCGGATTAGTGGCAACGAGTGCTTACGCGACATCGTGGAACTGTCGTCCAGTCAGCTGGACGAACACGCGACCCATCGTCCGCGTGATGTACGATGCAGTTTCGCGACTGATGAACGTTCCTGGCCGAACGATCGCGGGGAAAGAAGGTGTCCGAGAATTTATGCGAAAACGAGCCATCGTTCCTCAGTGGCGAAAATTACGCGTCATCGATGACCCATGTAACGAGCAATCTATAGACAGTGAAATGAAAGAAGAAAATTCCATATGCGAAAATATACTCGCGTATAGATATATATATATAGAGCATTTGTGAATTGGTAATGGGAGCCGAAAGGGAGCGAATCTACGTGAAAACGTAAGTCGAAAATGTAGAGTGACAGATTTTTGTATAAAGCTTTCGCTTAAAAATTCGTAAAGACCGAATGCAGTTGCACGTAATCCCACCTGTATGGAAGTACACCATTGTTACGGTCAAATTGCCATTTCAATTTCTTACATTATACGCTTAAAGATAAATATCGGAATGACATTATTCTTTCCATCAAACATCTGTTTATTAATTTTGACATAGTTTACTTGTCAACATGCTCGGTTCCTGCGTTTTACACCCCTGTGAGCATATTCCATGGTATTTTCTCTGTCTAAACATTTGAATATTTAACATCGATTTATTGGGAAACGAAACATCGTACGAGAAAAAATATCATTGTATATTTTCCACTTATTTTTTCATGTAGATC